TGCTGGCTCCTACCTTGGGGGTCTTTAAGAGGAGGCTAGATGAACACCTTGCTGGGGTCGTTTGACCCCAGTACTTTTTCCTGCCATGGCAGGGGGTCAGACTTGATGATCTGCTCAGGTCCCTTCTGACCTACCAACTATGAAACTATGAAACCATATCCCGCTCTGGAAAGGTAAGTGAACAAGGGCTGCTTGTGTGTTTGGCTTGTTGGACTGTGTGTTTGGACATGTGCCCTGAGCAGCTGTGAGTGCTGCAAGCTGTGTGATTGGCTGCGTGATTGCTGCCTATGTTTGACAAAAGTCCTAACCAGGGGGCACAGCCACAGGCCCAGAAGGGTATAAAAGAAGACTCCCCGAGAGACCAGGGAGTGAGTGAAGAGAGGCAGCAAACAGGGCAGTTTGCAAGCAGTTTGTAAGACAGTTCACAGTTCAATTTGCTACTCCACTTCTTTGAAGGGGAGCCTGTATGGTTAGCTCTTTCCTTAGAGTAACTAAGCTACATATATTAACCAGAAGTAGCTAAAACTCAGCAGTAAGACTAAGAATTCAACCCTTTGTTTTGCTAGAGTCCAAAGTGAGTGGGGAGTTCTCTAGGGAGTTTGCTTGAAAACTATCTCACCTTCCTTCACTGTAAGCTTCATAAGAGGAAGCAGGTTAGTAGGGACAAGAGAACCTTTCAGGGCCAAGGAGCAGTGAACAGGCCAGCTTTCAAGGGAGTTGGCTAGGGAAGGTTTGCTTGGAGAAAGGGGCAAGAAGAGAGAGGTGGTGGATTTAGGAGATCCAGAGACATGGCTAGAGGACATCACAGTGCCAGATCCACTGCCACTGCCAGCTCTTTCTCTGCTTGCACCTGCAAGGTGTCTTTTCAGCCAGGACTGTCCACTGTACAGGTCCTGGTTTGGCACTGTAGAGAGTGCAGCTTTCAGGGTCCTTCCAGTGGCAGCCAGGTGGGGGAGTACCTGCAATGTGAGTAGTGCCCCTTGGTGGTATCCTTCAGACAGCAGGTAAGAGAGGTACAGGAGGAGGTGGTGAGGCTCCATAAGGACTTCATCAATTCAATGCTGGACTTCTAGGCCTGCAGAGGAAGGATTGCCAGAGGTGGCACCGAAGAAGGAGGAGGATATGGACTCTCAGGAAGCTGGACCTTGTGACTTCTGGCAGCAAGAAGTATTTATCCACACCTGCAGAGAGTTTGCCTGGTGGGAAAATCAGTTATGGAGTCCTAGCAACAGAAGAGGAAAGTACATACTGTTGGTAGAAGAGGACAGACTAGGCATCCCCAAGGTTGGGAGGACTGAAACCACTGCCACCAAGAGGAAGTGACAGGTGGTTGTGGTTAGAGACTCCTTTCTACAGGGGATAGAAGCATTTACTTCCTGGTCTGACACGTTGTCTCGGGAGTTCTGTTTGCTTGCCAAGATCTGAGATGTCACGGAAGGTTTACCAAGGCTCATCCAGCCCTCTGACTACTATCCTGTGCTGCTCATCCATGTGGGCATGAATAATACTGTCAGAGTTGATAATGAGCAGATCAAAAGTGATTACAGGGCAATGGTGCAAGGGTGAAGGACACAGGGGGTCACGTGGTGTCCTCCTCAATAATGCCAGTCAAGAGGGAGGGCCTAGGCAGGAGCAAACACATCCTGCAGATCCATGCATGGCTGTGCAGATGGTGTTGCCAGTGGGGCTTTGGCTTCTTTGACCATGGAATGTTGTTCCAAGAAGAAGGATTGGTAGGAAGTGACAGGATCCACCTGACAAAGAGAGGGAAGAGCATCTTCACAGATAGGTTTGCTAACCCAGTGAGGAGGGCTTTAAATT